TACCCTCCGTCCCGCCCATCGAGAGTCATTCCCCACTATTTCCATTTATTCGGGCTCACGTGCTGCCGTAGAGGGAGTTTGAGTTCACGTTGTGAAGAGTTAGGCAAGTTATAATATTTTACGTGGCCGATGCAAGGGACTCTGCTCACCGCCATCCCCAACCCCCATCTCCCCTCCCCGGTCGACGGGATTTGGTGGTCCCCACAGTGACAATTTATCCGACGCCAGGCACCAAGGATGGGGAATCTGCATTCCAACTTCTAATGGTCATCTGGATGCGATCTGCTGCGCATGCGTGATTCGCTAAACGAACTTAACTGTGACGAGCATCTGCGTACGAACATTCGTGGACGATATTTTGCCATACGAACTTCAGCGCGCACGAACATTTTCGCTAACATTTTCGTTTCGTTTTCACACAATTTCGTTCGCTATGATTTTCTCCGGCCAAAGATTTAGCATCCAAATTATACGATTCAGGAAGGTCTTATATTACAATTTTGGTGGCCCCTGGGTCTTATCCTAACTATCCTGACGAACTTTATGCATGCCAACTTTATCCTTCGACCAATGATCGACAAGCCTTTCGTTGCGTACTTCTAACCGCAACTCACATTCCATGCCCACAGCATGACAGCTTCGGATTGCGTTGATTGACCATCTTTGAGGATTTATGCTGCTCCATAATAAAATACTCCTGAACAAAAGATAGTAATGATTGTGAAAATGTGCCTCCTTGGTGGTTTGGTTTCCCTTTTCAAATAATTTCCAAGCATTGGCCTCCTTATTACCACACGTATGGTTATTTTCCTTTGTGAATTAGAGCAAGCTTTGTCTGTGAATGACACTTTAAAGCTTTGCCCATCTCAGACAGGCCCCAAGCAGTGACCCACACCCTCCGTTTCAGTTTCTGCATCGGATGTGTGTACGACCACATGTGCCGTGCGAGTTAGATCCGGAGAGAGGTAGCTGCAACACATTTGGTAAACGCCCTGGTGAAGAGCGTGACGTCGTTAGCACTAACAGCACTGCCGTTTCGTCCGTTCGATATGCAACATCTGCGACTTCTTCCCACCACGGGTATGCTGTTCTCGGTCGGTGTTGTGATTTCGCGCACAGTCACGGGCTAGTGAGCTTAATGATTTCCAGTAAAGCGAAGAAAGTCGATGCGTCTGCCGATATAAATACCATGAAAAAGGCTATAAGATGGTGTTCGTCTACAAAGCAATACACGACAGATGTTTATGTTTACTCGAGTGTGTTCTGCAAGCACTGCACGGTGCTGGGTACCAGTGGGTATAAAGTATCCAAACTACGGTTTGCCGACTCCCACTTATAATCATATCACACCATTATTATCAAGGTGTGAAACGTGCAAATTTTACTTACAATTTCATCTCTACGTTCTCAGCGAAATGGAACGATACAGATAAGCAGTTTCTGGCCAGCGCGCTGTACGCTGCGGACAACCAGTTCACGTGTTCCTTTACGACCTTCGTAAATACGACCACATCTGGTTTAACATGCACAACAACATCCACAGCGCATGGGGCCAAAGTCGCGCATCACGTGACAAAGCTACAGTTTATTGACAAAATATAGCCTCCCTAACATCACATGACAAAGCTAGACATTCATTGACAAAAGCTGGCCTCCCAGCATGACGTGACGAAGCTACAATTCATTGACAAAAGCCAGCCCCCCCCCCCCCCCCCAGGAAAGCCTCTTTCACTCCGTGTTCTTTTGTGCCCCTTTGGTGGGCGGTGTCTTTGTCTCTTTACTTTACTGTCTAACGTACGTCCACTGTGCTGCACATCGACACAAATGCGATCCAGCCTCGCCCAGCACCTTTCAACATCATCATCCCCTTTGCCCACACCAGCACGTCACCACCGGTCAGTGTCTGAACCACGTCTCTCATCAAGATTCACGACTCTGGAGGTCCTCTCTGACGATGCCGCATCACCCGCATCAGCTGCTCACTCGCGCAGTCCCTGCCAACGGCACCGCCCGAGCGACGTGGAAGCCCTTCCCATCGCACGGCGGTGTCGCTGGCACGCTCCGACAGCCCCTGTGCTGTGCTGTCGCCGCCACGGCGGTGTCACCGGCACGCCCCGACAGCCCCGGTGCCGTGCCGTCACCACCACGGCGGTGTCACCGGCACGCCCCGACAGCCCCGGTGCCGTGCCGTCACCACCACGGCGGTGTCACCGGCACGCCCCAACAGCCCCGGTGCTGTGCCGTCACCACCACGGCGGTGTCGCCGGCACGCCCCGACAGCCCCGGTACTGCGTCGTCACCGCCACGCGTTCCCTTGAGGACGTTCAACTGACTGACCCCAGGCCAGGACAATGCCCCTCGTCGGCGGGAAGCGGCCTGAGGCGGCCGGCGGGGGCCTAAGACACTGCACCTCCCCACCCCCCGCCCGTGTCTGCGGGGCTTAAGACGCTGCACCTCCCCCCCCCTGTCCGTGTCGCCGGGGCCTAAGACGCTGCACCCCTCCCCCCCCCCCCGCCCCTGTCCGTGTTGTCGGGGCCTAAGGCGCCGCACCTCCCCACCCCCTGCCCGTGTCGCCGGGCCTAAGACGCCGCACCTCCCCACCCCCTGCCCGTGTCGCCGGGGCCTAAGACGCCGCACCTCCCCACCCCCTGCCCGTGTCGGCGCTTAGCCCAGCATCGAGATCACCTCGAACAGCTTGGCGATGCTGCCGCCCAAGCTGATAACCTTCTTGGCGGCATCGACGATGTCGCCGGTGTCCACGGTGCCGGTCAGGTCGATGTCAGCTGTCTCCCGGCTGACACAGTTCTCGTGCGACACCTGCGCGAGCTGCTCCGACCGCATCCTCCCGATTTGGTAGGCGGCCCTTTACCTGGCGGTCACACGGCAGCGGCGTGAGGGGTGTAACGGACTCACCCCCCCGGCAGACGCCCTCGTCCCCCGCCGGCTGACACAGACGGGCGTCAAGGGTGTGATGACCTCATGGTCAGACTAGTTTCCTAGGTGCAGGCGATGGGCTAAAGGCTTCGTGCGTTGCATTTATGTTGCCTGCTGCCTGGCTGGATAGTGAACATCAAAGTGAACAGAAGTAGCGGACATCGGTGCAACTCTGGGCTCATATGACGCGCAGACAAGACTTGGGAAACGGTGATGGAGACGAAAATCGCATCAACGCCAGCTCCTCTCTCACGAAATGCATTGATCGCTTTGCCTTATGGTAACGACATGTATGATGTCCGTTGCGAATGTCCATAGACATATATATGTATAGACATAGACATATATATGCACGGGGGAGTGCCAGACCAACATGTGCGCAAAACCCACAACCAAAACTCTATTGCTCTGAACTGACTGAAAACACACTGATCTAAAACCATTTCCGAACAAACGCCGTCTACAAGTTCTTGAAGTCATCCTCATCAGAGAATGAATGCCTGACTTAAACAAACAACTTAAGTCATGCATTACTTCGGACCTGTTCAGTCACTCAATGGCAGCGGGGTGATTCGATGTCTTTTCCTTTTCCATGTTGTTAAGCTGGCTGGAAAAGTGGTATACGCCTTTTGAATGTGTTTGTAATTCAACTAGATATTTGAGTGTATATATTTTGCCTGATGGTCCAACAATGATTATGTCTTGTCGAGTACGCCTTCGTATTTTGCCATATTCAAATGTTTCCGTCCGACCGCCTCACATTGCTTTAAGAATGGAGAATGAGTGTCCTTGAAACGTTAGCTTGTTTACGCTTATATCTATGGCCAGGTTATATTATATATAGGCGAGCTGATTTATGACTCACCGAAAACGACGAAAGATTTAATTCGAGCAATGGAACAAACGCACAAGAACTGATGACATGTACATTTGCCCTTGCGTAAAACAAAACTTCCCTTAACGAAAGCATACTATCTACGTGCACGAATATATATATATATATATATATATATATATATATATATATATATATATACATATCGGTAAAGTGAACAACACAGGCGCCTGTGGATTTCACTGATGTTAATACGAGCGGCAACGTCTTGAAATGAATGCCTTTTTAATGGTGTTAGGTATCGGTTTTAAGAAAAAAAAAACATTCAAGATCCTTGTTTGTAACTTTTCCAACATTTCCCTGCATCTCAAAAGCAGTGCAGCAGCAAACTGCTGGATCACGAATTGCTCAAATAGGTAGAAGCCTCTTGCCAAAGCAGCCGTATTGACAGAAACGAACGGGGTTCGGACAAAAAGTCACTAAACCTCTAGTTCTAACCGACATTGGCATAAACAACGAACTGCTGCGCCCCTGTCGCCCTCTTCTAAACGCGTTTCTCCCACCCAGCGCCTGGCCATGCGCCCCTGAGCGTGGACCGACAGTGGCGCTGTCGGCTCCGGCTGGCAAGTGGCGGACATAGCCCGCACCCCCGCACCAGCCGCACCGGCGGAGCGGAGCACGACCGCAGCACCGGCGCCGTCACACACCAAGGGCGCGTCACGGGCTGCCGGCCGACCTCCCACCAAGGACGGCTTTTTAACGTCGGCGTTATTGCAACGGCTGGGTGCGTGAGACACCAGCAGTGGGCCCGAACAGGTGTGCTCCGAGTCCGGAGTCCGGGCGGACTCCGAGTGGATTCCGGACTTCTGACTTCTGGAGCAGGGTGATACTTGCCGAAAATAATTTGGATTCTACTAGTAATTCGGAACTTTTAAGGCCGTATTCTCCAGTGTAATGTAATGCTGAAATGATTGGCTCGGACTCAAGACACTAGCGGTCGTATTCAGACTACGACTTTTGGACTCGCATTTAATAAGAGCCCTAGATGCACTGAATACAAAGATAAGTGTTAAGGCAGCTCTGGAAGGTGTATGGAAAGTCGGGTAGGGTAAACTACAAAAAGGCGGATCCAGCCCAGCCCAGCACCGCGACAGTAGAGACGGTGGTTCCCCGGCGAAAGGGTTATGGTCGTAGGCTGAACTTGAGACAGCATGAAAACTGCACCAGATAGGTGTAACTGAGTGATTGTAAATTTGGCCGCCATCGGGTCAAATCAGGTCATAGTGGTCAAACTTACCACTTTGTAGATTTATTTGCCCCCGATAAACACCTTTTGTTACTTCAATAACTAAGCATGGTACCACGATGCGGAAGGCGGTGTTAAAT